TTTTTTTAATGTATTAAAACACTGCAAGTAAGTATTGGAACCAGTAGTGATTATGGTGTTTTAGTGGTTCTCTTTCCTGAAATGTCAGAAAAATTGACTTGTAAGAAGCCAGTTTTCATACCTGAATGAGCATGTGGAAGCTTTGATAGAAAATCAAGGAAGATGCTTTCCGAATGGGATGTCGAATGTAGACGGGAGAAACTTGATTTTAACCACACACAAAAAAAAACAGTGGACTTGGCTATGAAAATGCTTGACAAAATTAAAAAGGGCTGTTACCATTGTGAAAACAACGTGACAGGAAATCTGAATCAAAGTCGCCAAGTAATGGCGTCTCTGTGCCTCATATTTCAAGGGGTCAGGGAGAGTTCAGCCTCCCCAGTGACGTATAAACAAAGCCGTTTCTGTACCTGCCTTGCACTGTGCTGTCTTCCCTTCTGAGAAAGGTTCCTGTTCTCAAAACGCTCCCGTTTTCATACTTGTTTTGCGTCAGTTTGGGGAGGGGAATCTTAATTCACTCTGTCCTCCAGGGCTGTGACCTGCTTAAGAACTGCTTCTGCTTCGTGGTCTTTGACCATGGCGGCTGCTTCAATCCTGTTAATTGTTAATTATTGATTATTAATTATTAATTATTAGTAATTCAGTCCTATTAATTGCTTCCATCCACAATTGTCTTGCACGTTGTGTCGGTTAAACTGTTTCAAATCGGCCATTGCACTTGCGTGTCTGACACTTGTTGTGTTGACCTCGTTTCTTGACACCACAAGGTGTTGACCCTCTAGGTTGGACTGCTGCAGTTAACTAGAGCAGTTTTATCTATGAGGTTCTGGTAGGTTTACCATAGAACAATTAAATTTTGTACTCTGGAGGGGATTTTTACAGCTGTTCTACATCTGTAATTAATAAATTGTGTTTGATTTTAATTAATGTTATGTTCTTTCTTTCGTGTTTCTTGTGGCCAATGTTTTGTTTAGTGTATAAGTATGATTTATGCAGCTGTTTCATTCTGTTTTCTATTGTGGTACAAGATAAGGATAATGCGACATCATGCTTTTTAATAATGCAAATATTTACAGAGAATAGAAAACAGTCTGATACAGGATTTTAATATGGGAATGCAGTGTTCACTGGAAGAAGGGTTTGTGCATGTCCTACATTGAATGGCAACTTTCAGACATTCTCTCTTTACAGTGTTGTCTCTTCTCAACTTAAAAGTGTAAGAGATTATACTGTCTGCAACTCTCAAATACATTAATTCTAATTATGAGCGCTCTTGATATAGCCATAGGCGTAATAGGACCTTCCAAATAACTCCTTTGTGAATAAGACCAAACTCACTGACTTGTGATGTCAAAGAGTGAATTCAATATCATGTCTGTGTATGTACTCTACAGCTGTTGCTGAGGCTAATGAAGTAATTACAACTTTAAAGAAAATAGACTGTATAGATGAGTTTCTTTGGACGCTTCCTTTAATGTGGAAAATCTCAAATTACTTTAGAGAGTTTGTTTTAAATATTGTTCTTGAAAGAAAAACAAATGCTGGAACACAATATGTTTTTCTTAACCCAGTATTTAAAGGTAAAAAAAAAATCAAAGGAAACAATAGGAGGAAAGAAGACACAACTAGTTTTTACTGGACTTACGGATTGCAGACGATTGGGTCATTTGAACTACTCAGCTTGTTGAGTGTTCAGTGGCCAATGGATCTGAGGATCTTGCCAGCCATTTCTTGAAAGAAGCCAGGGCTGCTGGCTCTGACAACATGGCTGTTCGCCTCAACATCTGGGCTGAAACAAAGGGAAGGTCCCGTAAAGGAAACCCAGTAGAGAAGGAGATGGGTCATGTTGTGAAAACGTGAGAGATTAAGATGCCTGAGGGCCGATTCAAAAAATGCTACCAGACAACACTTTTCTTCAGACTGGTACCATGTGTAATAACCCGGTTTCAGGTTGTTTTTTCACCCAGGCTAGGAGTCTGGTGTATTAACACATCTCTACTCTTCCCTGCTTAAAATACATCCAGATATATTCCACAGAATTTATTCACTGGTATCAAATAGTTTTCATTTGCATAACAAATACAGTACAGAGTGCATGAGCCACTTTTCTTTCCCCATCAAGAGCGATGGAATTCAGCACTAGATGCTGGTAAAAGGAAGATCCTCTGGCTGTTCTACAATGTCTTTTTGACTTGCTGGTAATGAAGCCCAAAGAAAATAAAGCTGCATTCAGACCGTATTCTGTAATAATTACTCATTGAAATTCAGTCATTCTTGTCTATCACCACCCATTCAAAAATGTAATTCCTGTTCCGTCTCCTTGAGGGAACATCGTTTTAAAGCCAAAAACTCCAGCTTAAAAGTTTGGAGGTCTCCAGATGACGACTTATTTGTAAAGCGCTGTAAAAGCTCTTGTGATAATGACACAGCAGTTAGAATTGCAGTATTCAGAATTCATTTATTTTTGGAAAGTTGCCTTAAGAAACCACAGCAATATAGCACGTACAGGGTTATAATCCAACATTTCAGGAATGGCTGCACCAGCTAGATACGTTTTTTTTTTTAAATGTATTCCATGGTCCAAAAACCAACTACATGTTTATATTTTGAAAGAGACTGAAAGTGATCAAATTAAGATACTTCCTAGCACTGTGTCCAACAGTCTAGTTACCCTCTCAGATCCAGGGGGTGTTTCAGGATCACTAATGGAATGCCTCTACTTTGTCATTATTTTCACTGAAAGCTGAATGCAGTTAAGGGGGTGGCAGTCCACCATCTGTAGTTGGTGATTTACTATATCAGTCTGCAGTTTTCATCCATGTGGCCAGCTTGCAGTGTAAACTGCAAGTCCAAGAATAGGTGCAGAGCTGTGTGATCAAGGGCAAGATGCTTCTGACGAGAGCAATCTCTTCGAATGTTTCTCGCTTGTCTTTGTGTGGAGTATCCAACATTCTTATTTCAAAACAAAACAGTGTGATAAATTCAGAACGATTCCAGTAGGGAATCTTCTAACAGAAAAAAATAATTTAGCAGCCTTCCATTTACGTGTTCACTGGTGGGATTGCTGTGACAATGTGGACCCTTTGTGGCCTTTGTTCATGTCTGTTTAAAATCTTATACTGAGAAGTTTGTCCTACTTTTATATCACCGATAAATTCAACACGACCCATTTATAATAATTTTTGTGATACATGTGGTAAGAAAATAATATGTGTATATTTTCTAAACATTTCATTTTTGTGTTTCATTTTTTTCCATGGAACAATAACTAAAAAAAACTACTCCTAAACAGCAAATATATACAATCCAAAAAAAAAACCTGCCTATATATTTGAGGGACAAAACATCAAAGACACTTTTAAGGTCTTTCTTAATACTGCTGTATGTTACTCTGCTGTATGCTTTTTGTATCCCATTTATTTAGCAGCTTCTGTTATCACATATGGGCAAGCTTAAAATGTTTTGATTTCCTTGTTATACTCGCCATTCAGATTAAATGTTAAAAATGTGTAGACCAGGGTGCTAACAGCCTTTAGCTCGGTAAAATCTAACTGGTAGGTCTAATCCTGCACAGGCCTACTCTGCTGTGACCTGGGTTATTCATCTGAAGTGGAATCGCGCTGCAGTGGTCTTTTTCTGTCTTTCCACATGGAGGAGTCAAGGCCTTATCCCAGCTTCACTCTTGGCATCACAGCGTGTTACATTGCGGAGGTTAAAGCTGAGAGCTGGAACAAAATGTTGTAGCAGTCAGGGAGAAATGAACAGGAATCTTGATTCAGACATGTCTGAAATGAGTCGGAGAGGAAAAAAACACTTAAGAATTTAACGGGGGCCAAGTGGTAATAAGGTGGTTTGTTTTTTTCTGCATGTGGATTTTATCTGCTCCGGAATCCCATCTGGACCGAGAAATGGCTCGTGTGGGGTGCCTGGAACACGGGGCGAGATAATTATTAAGCACTGTTTCTGCTCCGTCTTCCTGTGATGTTTTGTTTCAGCTGTTTCATTCCCAAATGGCATCTGCATTCCTTTCCTTTGTTCCTGGTTGACCGTGGAATTTTGGAAATGTGTGACAGGGCAGGATAGGGTGGGGGGTTGGTGTTCAGCAGGAGGCGGGGGGGCTGCTCGCCACCATCATTAGATCAGAGTTTCGCATGAGAAGCCGTTCATTATGCCGATAGATTGATTGCCACTGTTTCCCAAGGGGCCATTTTTAAAAAACACTCAGTAACTTAACCCTTTCAGGTTTAAACAGGGAGACTGAAGGGCACCTTGGAATTCCTGATTTTAAAATGGTATATTTTAACTGGCTTTGCCTCCACACTAATTAAGAGATTTAGAGTGATTTACTGATTGTCAGGATGTGTGCCACTCTTCTTAAACCATGCACTCTAAATTCCAAAATTCCATCAAAGCGATGAGCTAGAACTCATCGTGTATGAGAGGGGTCTCTCAGTGGCAGGAAAATTTAAAAGCATGCAGCCGAAGGCTTAACCCTCGGCATCTTTGCTGAGTCATAAACTCTGTGTGCAGCTCTTAATTTCCTAATCTTGGCTCTTATTTGTTTTGCAACAGAAGTAGGGAAGTTTAGGGGTGAGTCATGGAGGGATGTGTTTTGAGCCTGCAAGGTTTGCACTTTTTGGCAAACAGAAACATGTAAAAAATCATACTTTTCACAAGCAATGAGCCAGTTGTTCTCAGTTCTTTTGTGTGTAATGTATTTTGGGAATGTGTATGTACGGACCCTCTGATGCTTGTATCAGCAATCTTTTTGGAATTTCAAGTGAAATGTTTGTGTTTTTGGTTGATCTCAAGCTGCATCTCCTGTGGGAAAGGGTGTGTCCAGTTGTTTAAAAAATACCTTTCCTAATAACTCGCAGAGCAGATTAAACCCTGTTGTGGATGGTCTGCTTTTCAGGCCTTTAGAATCCTCCTAGCACCACCCCAGTGCCCTGTGACAGCAGGCCGCCTGTATTTTAATGCCTGCTTTGTGTTGTTCGTAGGTGTTCCGGTTTTTCTGCGACACCTGCTCTGTGCCTATCTGCCGGGAGTGCAGCGTGGGAAGACACGTAGGCCACAGTTTTATCTACCTCCAGGACGCCGTGCAGGACTCCAGGGCCATCACAATCCAGCTGCTTGCGGACGCCCAGCAGGGCCGCCAGGCTGTGCAGGTACCCCGCCTTTCCCTCCTGCGCTCGCCCCCTTTTCAGTGGCAGTGCCCCCTACTTCTCCGACCCTGGATCTTGTTCGATTCACAGGACCTCAGACCCTATTAAGGGCAGGCGGAAAGTGATGCCGGTCTAAAAATAAAACTCTCGGGATTTATTGGTAAATGGAAGGTGAGGGTAAAGACCGCACCGGAGCTCATCCTGGTTTCTGTGGTGGGAAACGGATTTGTGACCCCCAGGGATGGGAACCCAGTCCTACTGGAGAGGGTCAGGCTCAGCTGTCCAGTTGTGCTGATCCCCTCTTACTCAGCTGGGCGGACTGGGAGAACTGGGGTACAGTCCCTCACTCAGGGTCACTCTCTGTAGCAGGGACTCGAACCCACAACCTGCCAGTCATGATAATGTTTCTATACTGCACCAGGAGCTCAGACCCTACTGCTCAACCACTACACTATGCTGCCTTATTGATAGATACAAGGCGCTAGAAGTTAAAAAAAAGTGTCTTTCTGTCCCTCACGCGAGGGTGTTTCTCCCAGTCTGGTGTGGTTTGATTTCTCACAACGAGTTCATTTGAATCGAAGCGAACAGATGAAAGATAACATTTTGTTCAACTCTGGTGGGAACACGTCGGGGAACTAATATTTAAAATGTTTCTCATTGGGG